TCTCTCTCTCTCTCTCTCTCTCTCTCTCTCTCTCTCTCTCTCTCTCTCTCTCTCTCTCTCTCTCTCTCTCTGTGTGTGTGTGTGTGTGTCTGTGTTTGGGTTTCCTTCCCTTTTTGCCACTCTTTGGTTGTTCCTTACCATCCAATCTCACTCTCTCCATCCTTAGAACCGTCTTCAGAGCCGGCATCTCCTCCACCTGCTTTTCCTTGAGCAGAGCCATCTGGTTGCTGTTGTCCCTTTTCTGCTCCCCCCTCCTTGTCCGCCGTTTCCTTGACCACCCGTGGTGTTCTGTATGCCCATGTCTCCACTCTTCCAAGATCCCACAGCTTGCTTTGGCCAAAATCACCAACGAGCGCACCCTCTTCTGTCCATAGCCTGCATGGTTCAACATAATAGGGCACTTGTCATCCTTTCAGAAAGACAGAAGAAAACCGATGGGCCATTAGAATATACTAGGGCTGTGAGATGCATGGACGGGCCTCACATCCTGAAGGGATAATACAGTACTGCTCGGGGGCATGATACTAGTAATACCGGGGCAGAAAAAAAGGGAATACAATAATTCGAGGTGGCTTTTTACCTGGATGTGGTTCACTGGGAGGGTGATTTTTTACGTGGACAACGTGGACGTGGCCTTGCTGATGAGCGCATGCAGTTAAAGCCGGCACGGCCTGGCCGCAGTCAGCACAAACAACAGCTTGAACAACCAGGGCTACATTGTTGCACATGGTTATGGGTCTGGCCATGCTGCCTACTCGTCGTCAGCCAGAGGGCTGGCGTGGCAGAACTTCAGCCTGAGGCGTGTGTGTAGCGGGAGTGATGGGAGTTAGGGTGGTACACAGAAAGCGGTGAGGCAAAAGAGATGAGGAGAGACAACGTGGTACACTATGCTTCAGCCTGAGCGAGCAGCGTTTCACTAGCATCATCATCTTTTTTTTTTTTTTTTTTTTTTTTTTTTTTTAATCATCATCGTACGTTAGTTCGATTGCAGTCTGAAATGGTGTCAAATGTGGCAGACCCAGCTTCAACCAGTGAGGGTGACCGGGGTCACTTCAGCAAGGGTGCCATGCAGGAAGGTTCTTATCATCATTATCATCATCATCATCATCATCATCATCATCATCATCATCATCATCAACGTGCTTGGTGGGACACGAGCAAGCTTATCATAGTCTCTTTGGCAGTCGGCGAGCATGATGATACTATGGAGGTCGGCGAGCATGGTGTTTGGGGGGAAGAACAACCAGGTAAGAAGAGTTTTGAGCGGGAGGTAATCAATCGTCTGACTCGGCCAGCAGGTGAAGCTTCCCACCAATAGATGGAGCCTCTCCCCCAGACTCCTGGGCAATGAGTGCTACAGACTTCCCCCGAATACAACGTACGGTCATTATAGCTGAATTTAGACTGAAAGATACCCCAAATTCAGCTACAATGACCGTATGTTGTATTCGGGGGAAGACTGTAGTGGTACCTGCTTTTACCAGTACCACTACCCTCTTCACTCGAATAGAACGCCCAGTAATTATCGCCGTATCTGGGCTGAAAGTTGTGCCAAATACAGTTAAAATGACCGGGGCGTTCTATTCGGGTGAAGACGGTAGCACTGAGCACTGGAGGGGGTGTTGTTAAAAAAAAAAAAATTGTCTGACTCAGTCCGCTTAATATGGTCGATGCGCACAACGATTTGCGGACGACTGAGAGGGTGTTGATATTGTGGAGTCGGTCTACGCAAAACTGCAAAGAAAAGAAAGAAAGAAAAAGTTGTGGAGTCTGTTGGTGTCAATTAGCACTCTTTTACCCATCTCCAGGGGCCAGGTCCCACTTACGCTGATCCTTGATTTCTGGCCGTTGATCTTCCAAATCTGCGGTCAGAAATCGATCGTTTGGCCCCAGTTGGCCTCTTCTTGTCCTCTTCTTCGTCTTCCCCCTCCTTCTTTCTCTCCTTGCCTGCCTCTTCATTGCAGGCATGTCCTTCGACCTTTATCTTCTTCCTTTCTTTCCTCTCCCCCCTCCCCTCCCTTCCCCCCTTGCCGCCCCTCTCTCTCTCTTTTGCTCTTCTTCGTTCTCTGGTGATCGTCCTCCTCCTGTGTCTGTGGATGGGACGGCAGAGGCGGCTTTAGAAGGGAAGGCGTGGAGGAGGGAGGGGTTTGGAAGGGGTTTGGATATGAACGAGGAGGGGGTGGGGGAGAGAGAGAGAGGGAGGCAGTTGGCAATGGGTCTGAGGTTGGAGGTGTGCACTGTCTGAAGGCGGCATACCATCGCATACGACTTCAACACATTCTGTGAGCACCTTAAAACCACCAGAATCACTCTTTTCTTTTTTTTTAATCTTTTTTTTTTTTTTTTTTTTTAAGCCGCTCCATCTATTGGTGGGGAGCATCACCTGCTGGAAATCGGGTCCAGCGTCCCTTGAATACATGAATAGCAGTACACTTCCAACCATTTTTCAGAGTCGTGAGGTGCATGCTGGCGCTACTCTCACGAAGTACTGCGGCACCGTTGTGCGGGACATCCATCCTGGCTGGCAAAATGGGCCTCACATGAGCGAAAATGGGCCCTGGTACTTCCAGAGAGAGTCCGGGCAGCATGCGCGCTGCAACATTGATTTTACAGCTGGGAAACGTACCCAGTCTGCTGGCTTAAAGTTTATCCCCCTTCACTGATTGACGAGGAGGCTGAAATAATTGACTAATTATGGTAGGTTCTGTACTGCCTTTTCAAGCTATAATTTGAGTTCAAACGTTTCGACATTGTCGTTAAATTTGAATTTGCCCGAACTGCAGTCGCAAACTGTTTTCGTGGCCCACAGTGCAATTATAACTCATTTTTGTGACTCCTGCGTAGTTCCCCCCCCCCAAGAAAGAAATGCGAGATAGGCTACAGTCCATGTTTTTTTTTTCCGATAAGCAAAAGTGAATGCCCTCGCATGGTGCCAATTAATACTGCTCTTGGTTCCTCATTTCTCTCTCCTTTTTGTAAAAGGGACGCTGGACCCAGTTTCCCGCAGGTGTAACTCCCCACCAATAGAATGGAGCCATCAAAACAGGGGTGGCCCTCCCTTGGAGGGTGCCCTTCTCACGTCCAATGGTCGGCCAAAAAAAGACAGATAAAAGAAGAACAAAGAAAAAACCAAAAATAGAAAATAAAGAATAAAACCTGATCAATTAATTAATAATTTAATAGGTAGGAAAAGCTGCCGAGTTGAATGCGCTACTCACCGGGCGACATCAAATGTTGCTGTCACCAGCAAGCGGTCATTGTTGATAAAAGCCAGTCCGACCTGCGGGCAATACCGAAAAGATGTAAACTTTTTGAAGTGTTGTTGTTGTTGTTGTTGTTGTTGTTGTTGTTGTTGTTGTTGTTGTTTTTCCTTTTCTTATTTTAAACCACTAGTACCTTTGGCATCCGGTTTCGAGAAGTTCCAGCCAGCTCCCGAAAACTTTCAGGAGGCCGAGCCCGGCGTTGATCAATCTGATCGGCGGCGGTCGTTTCGTTTCGGCCTCCTGAAAGGCCGGATGCCGAGTATTTTCGAACCGACAAAGGTACTAGTGGATGTAAACACTGTAAAGAGAATTGCCAGATAAAACTTCATAAAAGCAACAGAAAAGAAAAAAGAAAAGAAGAAGGACAAGACAAAAGAAACGAAAAAAATGAAAAAAGAAAAGAAAAAAAAAAAAAGAAAAGAAGGAAAGCCAGGAGCTTTCAGGTATGCTTGGATGACACGAGGCATCGGGACAGTGGCTGATATATGGGACTCTGTCTCGTCTGACTGGAAACCTTTTGAAGTTTTGGTACAATGGCACCTTCACTTTCTGGAATCTGGCACCAACGGTACCATCTGCAAAAGCTGCAGCAAGCGATCCCGGCTGCTTGGGTCGGGGTACTAAGAGCAGCCCTTGTTCCTGCTCAGGGAATGTGGTACAAGCACTCACACCTTGGAGAACCAGTGCAAATTCGGAAAATAGAAAACTACGCGGAGGAGGCACAAATTCCAGACTCCTGCTGGGTGGTGCAAGATGGTTTTTTTTTGGCCTGGGATCAGTCCTGGTGCTTGCCGTACGTCCGGAGCCTTTGCCGCCTGCTCATACCTTGCTGCCTGTCTGTGTTTTGGAAACTGCAAAAGGATATCGCCCCTGCTGCCCCTCTCAACCGTCTTGTCTTTTGTCACTGGACCCCAGGGATTGGGAGTGGGAACACCCTCACAGGAATGAAATGGTTTTCACATGCATCATGATGGCAATTCGGCCAACTTTTTTTTTTTTTTTTTTTTCACAAAATTCGACCAACCTGGGATAGTATTTACTTGCTTTCCACGCCCCAGGTTGATGTCAATTGGACGGTGGCTCACAGATAGAACGAATTCATGCATTCTGATTTTTCTTTCTTCTTTGTCCAGACTCTTAAAAGCCTGCGTTGCCCCCGTAAAACATAAATCTTGGGTTTATGAAAATGCGCGAAGCGATCACTTCAAAATGGTTGGCAACAGGATGGATCGCAGACTCGCTGACACCATTGCTTGAAGTGTTACCCAGATTCTGGTGGAATCTGATGGACCTGGTTGTTGTTGTTGTTATTAAACATGCCCGTTTTCTCTGGCTCATGATGCACCAAGCAGTTCCAGTGGCAGTTTGGTGTGCAAAACCCGTACTGCTAAGGCGTGGGCGGAATGCCAGATATGCCCCGGGACGCGGATGGAAGACCTGCAACACTTCATGTTGCATTTTGACATTACTCTGCCTTTCTGGGATTGGTGGAGGCAATGGGAAATCCCTGGCCCTGGAAACAGTTCCAGATGGACAGACCAATTCCCATGATTAATGGGAACTGCTACGAGGTGAGCACCTTTTCCACAATGCTTCACATATGCGGAAGAGACACTCTGAGTCAGGGGTGCAACACTATGGTCTCTCTGGACATGAATGAACTCAGCAACCAGACGTGGAGAAAGGCTAACGTCATCAATGGTCCGAGGCTCCGAGCAGACGTCAAACAAGCAATACAGGCCAACTGGGAGCACCGGGTGCAGCGGAAGGGGTTTACAAGGAAGGCAATGCAGTACTTCACCACGCGTTGGGCTGCTTTTGCGGGGTTGGTAATAGTGGATTGTTCCCCAGGTCAAACGCCTTGTCTGCTTTTTTCGGGGTTTTTTTCTGTGATTGTACATCGTGGTTTGCAGACTTGTGGGAAATGTTCATAATTTCTGATAGTAGGATAGCTTAAGCTACTATAGGATACCGCTACCGATGCTAGAATACATTGTAGACTTGTTGAAGAGAAAGATGAGAAGAAGGATTTGTGCCCTTGGAACAGTCGTGGCATGAGCTTTGCCTGACTGGAGAGCCTCGCTCAGCTCAGAGCTGCGGTGACTTTTGTAAAGGACGCCGGGCCCGCTTCCCGGCTTTGATCATTAATAAAGAGATTGATCTTCTTCCAAAAAAAAGGAAAAAAAAAAGAAAGAAAGAAAGCCATGAGGAGTGCACTGGGAAATAATAAATCCAGGGCAGGAATTTATTTTTTCCCAAACACTTGCCCAGTGTACTATTCAGAGTGGTACGAGCATCTCCCAATTGTACCCCTGGAGCGTGGCTCCTTTGATTTAGTGGAGAGCAACACTTGCAGAAAAACGGGTCGAGTGTCCCATGAGTGAATACATTTACTGCTGTGCATAAGTACTTTTTTTTTTTTTTTTACTTTGAACTTTCCCTTCGGTGCCAGTGGTGCTGGTTAGAGCAGACACCGCTAGCACCTGTGGAGAGGCTCCATCAAGGTGGGGAGCATCACCTCCCGGAAAGGGGGTCCAGCGTCCCATTTGCAGAATGGCCTTGGATGATATCAGAACAAGAATCTTGAGAGGTACCTGCCAGCATTGATTACTCTGGAATCCAGAGGATTGACTGAGCAGGTCATTGGAAAGAGGGGAGAGAACCTCTTCGTCCTGTGCCAGGCGCCAGATATCTGCTATCACGCACTAGTTCCTTCCTCGGAGTCCCCCTCTTTATCCGCTCAAGCAGTAATATAATGAGGATTTGAAGAGAGACTAGACTTTTTAAGTTGGCTATATACAGCATTGTAGAATCAGCACTTCCGCCTTGACCGCTTCGACAGTAATCCTTATCTCTCTTTCCCAAACAGGCTGCTCATCTTCGCCGACGACCGCCGCTGGCCATAGTCTTCCGCACCGTGTCGGCGGGGTACCGTCCACCCCCAGGGGGCACCGGGAGCGGTTTATGCCCCGTGAGTATCAGATAAGAATCTCGACCAAAGACAGAGGGTGGGGCGGGAAAGGGTCCGGGAAGTCGGAAGGTGGTCTCATGGGGAAGGAGGGTTCAACATTAGTCCACTCATTAAAGAGAAGCCTGTAATCTCTGGAGGGTTCTTGCTCTTGCTCTGTCCCACTGTTCCGGTCCCCTCCCCACTGTATCTGGGCAATCCATCCCGCTCGGTTCCCTCCCAGCCACTCTGCGCGAAAAATTGTGAGTGCTCGCTTGATGTCCTGACTACTGCGGAAGATGTCCAGCTGTGTTTTGAGAGCTTGCCATCTGCGTATGAGCTCCAGCTGGATCTGCTCTTTGATCTGTTCTGCCAGTTCCCCCCCTTCTACCCTGACTCCTTCCATTGCTAGTAGGCAACGGTGCCACCAGAGGGCCTAGGCGACCGATCTTCTTCTTCTTTTTTTTTTTTAGACAACACAAGCTCCATCTATTGGTGGGGAGCAACACCTGCTGGAAACCGGGTCCAGCGTCCCATAGATAAAACCATATCCTCCCAAATTGGCACAAACTGGGAACCGGGCCCAGCGTCCCATAACGAGAACGTTCAGAAAAGTCATCAGAAAATTCCATGACAATGAGACTAGAAGCCAACTAAGAATTTTGGATCTCCTTCAGACCTCTTTTGTAAGAAACTTCAAAGTTAGACAAAAATCAGAAAACGCCTCAAAAATCCACCAACGGTCCTCTTTACCTCACTCTGGCAAGACTTACTGCAGTAAAGTCACCATCTCTACTGCTGCTATGCCCTATTTCTGTCCTACCAATCTTCTGCCTAGTCTATAAATGTTTTCTGTGAATGAGGAGGATTGAGCCATAGCTGGACTGTGTCCTGTCAGTATCGCCTGCCAGGACCATGGCCAGGGGGTATCTGGCAGCATTTTGCGCCATATACGATCCCGCCACCGCCACGTCAGCAGCACCACCGGGCATTGCATTGAGACATGCTCGATGGTCTCATTCCACTTGCGTGGGGGGAAGGCTGTCAGGCATCGCTGGCACCAAGGTGTTGCAACCCCCTTTTGTTCCAGGCTTGTGTGGTAGACAAGCCATGCATTAGTTGGGAGGCAGCGGTGGGTGATCTGCCACTGCAAATTTAAGATGTAACCTTGGCTGGCCTGACCATGTTGTCGGCAAACCATCGGATCGGTGTGATAAGGGAGCGGTCTACATTGAGGTGTCTAGCCCACCGGTCATTTATCAGGTCGTGCAGCAGTCGTTTGGGACGTAGCATCAATCTCACCTTCCATGACTGGACAAAGATAGATGGATCAATCCCATTACCCCCCCTTTGAGCATTCCCAGACTCATTTTTTCCCCCCATGAGCTTTCTCTGGTAGATCTACAATGGTATGGGTACTGTAATTGGTGTAGTAAAAAAGAAAAAAGGCAAAAAAAAAAGGTGTAGTTGATCTGTTGCTGCTTAGGAATGGGGGTCCAGAGTGCTGGTTCATAAAAGTTAGTCTTGAGGATCATTATAGCCAACTTGGACCCTGAGGCTGTTAACCTCCAACCACAACCCGCACAACTATATATATTGTGGTTGTCGAACTTTGAGGTTTGCTATAAGGACCCTCAGGCTGAAAAAACCCTGAGTTTTTTTTTTGGGGTCCTGTTAACCTCTTCTCTGCAATGCCATCCGGCAGGCAGCAGGGAATGCCCCGGGGAGCCCCAGGGGATTAAACCACCAGTACTTGGACCAGCTATCTGCCGAGGAAGAAAATTGAGTAGAAACATTTCTAATCGGATGAATTTGGGCGCTCATGTAGTGGCCTGTACATTTCCTAAAACTGTGGCCTGTTAACGGGCACAACTTTATGAAGTACTGGTGGTTTAACTTCTCTGGTTGTCTTGAGATGGATAGGGACATTGCCTCTTCAGCACTGCTCTTTCTTTCTTTCTTTTTTTTTTCTTTTTTTTTTTTTTTTT